TGTTCAATTGCCGTCGGTGGTCGTGAGTTCCTAAGTTTAGACCGAAGCATGGACTATCGCGAGACTGTGCGAGAGTGTAAGATCTAGGCTGAAAGGGCTAATTAATTTGGGAACTCGTATTCACAGCTTTTACGTAACGAGTCGCTAATGATAGAAATAGTAAAATAGTTTCACAGTGACCATTGTGATACCGCTTTATCGCCGGTGCATGTGCGATATTCGTCAACAATAAGTGCTTTCAATGTGTCCGTGCTTGTCACCGCCATGTGCATACAGAAATTCTAAAGATAGAAAATAAGAAGAAAGAACGTCGTGAGTTTTGAGAGACGAGACAATGTTTATATTCACTGACGTATGTGATCGTAGAAATGCTGGTATGACCGCCTATGAGGTAGTAGTAAGAACCACTGAGTGAAATAGGCCGAACACAGCATAACAAGTCGTCGTGAATGAAATAAAAATAGAGTCAAGGGCGCCTGTAACACCACAGGCAATGTCTTCGCTTAGCTGACAGATAAAAAATAGGTGATGAAAAACGTTTGAATGAAGATCAAATAAATTACTTGATATACCGTGTACCTACAAATGAATCGCGTGGTTGTCATGGTTATAAAAATATCATATCATAAATACATAACATATTTATTATATTTAGTATTTGTTGATACAAAATGATCATACCAAATATTCTATTCGGAATATAAAATTATTAGAAAACACTTTTTATTAAAACTACGACAATATACTAGTAGAATGTGATGAGAATCAAGGAGCCCACTTACCTCAGCTGTAAAGGAGACTCTTTTGCGCTATCTCGTGGTGGTAGTAGCCGCTCCTATACATTATATATGTGAACAATCAAATGAATGCATACAAAACAGAGTTTCAATGTAATATACATACAAATAGACGATAAACTTTTACATGACAAACATTCAATGAAATCGACTTTCATTGTTTGACTAGAGGGCGTGCTGATACATTCCTGTCAGTCTATGGGATGCAGTCACCGGGAGTTGAAACAACTTATGTGATTTGTTTATTAAATAATCGCAAATGTGTGTCCCATTCTCTCTAACACCCTTTATCTGTTTAACACTGTCGACTTACATAATATAATTTCATTTAATTTCATTTGGTCGACGTAATAGTGCCACACAGGGTGAGAAAGTCTCACTATTTTCACTTCCCGTGCACCATTCCCACCTCTGGCGAAGGTGGTAGATAGTGATAACCACGTGATCAAGTCACGATCGCAAGCACCCATTTGTCACAAGTCGCTCACTATAGTCCTCATATATTCACCCCGTGTCACGATGACCTCCTTTCTTTTATTCGAGGTAAAACTTAATAAAAGTACAAATCAACCCCAGTGTATGATTGTGAAGGGATCGTTGTTCAGTGACGTCATTACAAATAAGGTGGTAATCATCTGTCGTTATCATGTGTCACCATAGACCATTATTCACAGTTGTATCCCACTTTGTATTCTCTGTAGAAAACCTGTGTGTGCAGTTCATGAAAAATATTAACCAATAAAATCCCGAACTTCTAAAATCAAGTAAAGTTATCTCCGAGTGATTATAACATTTATGTTTGAGTTGGTGATTAGACATAGCGACCTTCAGTACAGCTAGATTCAGTGCTCCAATATAATGTTTTCGTAGTTTTGATTATTTCAGCTCGAGCCAGCCAAAATGGCCGTGTATACACGTTCGGCATACATATGTTGTGCAATTTCACTGATCTACGTAGCTCACAATATATATAATGGATTAATACCTAGATATAGATTTAACATTTATTAAATCTGTTTGGAAATGTTTGCTCTTCAAGAATAAAAAGAAGAGAGAAGACGACCCTTCATTAAATAAGTTTGTCAAGAACTGAGTACCAAAAGCAAGCTCGTAATAGCGCCCTCAATACACGTGTTTCGAATATACCAATAAAACTGATCCTGGAATCTCAAATCACGCATATACTATCGTGGCATACCAAGAACATATACACCAACAAAGTCATTTTGTCTGCAGTTAAAGACACAAAAACAGAACTAAACGCAAAACCTTGAGTTATTAAGTGGGTCAACCATATTTTAAAACGCACCACCATTAGGTCAATCCAACTTGAAGAAGGCAAATCTGATGAGGTTTTTTTTCTAATTAAATATCGGACTTTTCGAATAATATATTTAAAACTCAATAGTTGTACAAATTTTAAATACTGTATACTGTTTAAATGGTAGAATACACTATTGAAACTCGTTTGGCTGCCATAATCCGTAATGAATGACTTTCAGACGAATTCCGAATAGCATGTGTGATTCGTGACTCGATATTTCTAGGATGTTCGACTTTTTTCGAAATTCTAATATGTAATTATTTCAGATATGCCGTCCCCTTTTCGACAAGTTGGTATGCGCGAATTAATTAAATGTCGGGCAATCAGTATAATGTAATCAAAAATTCAAAGAATACTCAAATACGAAGTGTAAAAAATAATTGTCAAAACTAGAAAAATGTACATTGTTAAAAAAACGATATATACAAACTATATAGAATACGATTGGCCGATTTAGCAAAATAAAAACCAAATGTAACAGTTTGTTTGCCATTGAATATTCGAAAATATGCTAAGATACCATATCGTAGAAAACCTTTTGGAGACTAGTTTGACTGTCATTGAGGAAGGATTTCATAGCAATGCAATTATTTGTAATAGTTACTAAATATATTAAACGACTGAAAGCAATGTATCAACTTAATCCGAGTTTGTGTGATTCATCAATTTAAAGAATATATTGTATTTTCTTGAAAAGATAACTAGAACCATATAAATTTCCTAATCATATTAATAACATTTTTCACTAACTTTGAACTTTGATGTTGTTTGATATACACAGTAGTAATTATTTCAACAGTTTTCAAATTAATGTTGTGATGACGAA